ACTCCAAAAAGAGACAGAGACATTTTGAGATTCAACGTTTCGATCTATTTGATAATTTTCAAGAATACTGGTGAGAAAATCTCACCCATCCATATATGTTTACAATATTTACAGAAGTATAACAGAAAGCAAATAAAAACCGACCAATCAGATCATTAAAATCAAAGTTATAACCAGCCAATTAAAAACGAGTTAATTAAAAAATGAGGTGTGTCTTATATTAAGTATATCACTTATTATTGTGAATAAACAATGAATAATCAACAATTTTTCAACAATAGTATAGAAGCCTGGGAATGCTGGCTGATTGAAAGTCTCATAACATGAAATAAACAATAAGAAATTTAGTGATATACTTAAACAGTAGAGAATGCTTTCAAGAAAAGTACATGTGATATAATTGCAATTCAGAATTAAGTAAATAATGAAAGCTCCTTGGATGTTATGATAACCAAAAACATGCTAAGGGAGTGCCGGACTACCGGTAACGTATAAAAACATAAAATACAAAATATTTTTACATTTTAGTACTCTTTCAAAAAAATCCCTTTTTGTAATTTGGCTATTATGTCAATTTATAAAAAGTGTGCCATGTTTGTTCGTCTACCAACAGAAGGCACTACATACCATAGCCCCAAATATGGCGCACCGCTTGAACGCCAATGGTTTTGTAGTGTGAGAATTTCGTCTGAAATGCTTTTGCTCATCATGAATGGAAACCGGAGAAACATAGCCCAAGCTTGCTTTTATAATGATATATGTATGTAAAATTTCATTGTAATCCACTCATCGATTTTATTGCTTTTAGTGTACAAAGTTTCAGTTACGAGCATTTTAGTATGATGGATCACAACTTAATCCAGCCAAGACAAGTTTCCAAACGTTCGTTTTTATCCAAGCAGATTGAAAAGCAGGCTGCTAAGGCTTTCGAAGACCATAATGCCACATAGCAATTTAAAAAGGTACATAGCTCTTAAACAGCCTTGATGAAAGTTAAAGACTATATAATGAAATACTTATCGTAGCTGTTGTGTAGTTGTGTATTGCTAGTGCTTCTCCAACAGTTACGTTGACACAGTTGAAAGTCATTCACTCTTGAATTGCACAGTTTTTTCCCTTGAATCCAACTAAATTAAATTGGTTTGTTTTGTGTATATTTGTAAGAAACTTAGGAAAGTAAATTTTCTATAAATATACTGTATCGGAATATTTTAATAGTACACTTGGGAAAACTGTTAAACATGGACTGGATTAAGCAGATATATGATCAAACAAAATGGAAATGCTAAGGCTTTAGACTTTAATAAATTGTTCCGGAATTGCTAACGACGAATGAGGATCTCATGTTGTAGATAGACTATTTAATTTTTTTTAAACAAAAGACGCTTTAAAAACTGGTGTCACCTAACAATTTTAATAAAGTTAACGTATTTAAATGCAAACAAGTAAGGCATTACATATACTCATACCGCTGTATCTGGAAGAGTGATGTGGAAGATTTCCAATCGAAGTCACAAGTATTATAACTGTTGTTCCCCTCTTGCTGAACCGTGACAAATTTATGGCAAAGGGTTACGCTTTCTAGTATAGCAAAAAGAAAGGAAATTGTAATGTATTGTTTTTAGTATGGGAATCAATTTCTTAAAAAAATATTTTTAAAATTTTTGTCTAAGTAATTTCTTTCCTGCTTACATTCCGTTGTAAGCAGGCCAAGAGAGAATGGCATAATTGGTTGTAAAATGAAAGTGACAAATGGAAGTTAAAATAAAGAAAATGGAAAAGAATTGATAGTCTACCGGGGTCAGGGAGAGAAGGTGAAAAAAGAAAGAATCGGAATCATGGAGTGAAGGCTGTATGATATCTTAATAATATCTTAACCAATAGAAAGAGAGGCAATGGATTCACAAAAAACAAGGAAGAAACTATTATTTGGTAGAAGTGAAGTGTCCAATAGATTGAAAGAATACATTGCAGAGATGTACATAAAAGAACCACGGCGGAGAAAATGACAATCAGGAGCCGAATTTAGAAATCAACTAAAATAAGAATGAATGTTGAAAGAAAGGACAACCTAATACAGAAAAATATATGCTCGGTACTCTGGAATAATGGCGTTTGACTAGCAAAATTTAAAGTAGATAGGAAGTATGAGAAGAACGGTCCCGCCTAAATACAACGCATCAACATGCAATGAATATGAATTGGAGGCAAGCGAGGTTTTAATCAGACTGAATAAATATTAAGAAGAATGATGAGGAACAACTAAATAAAAAATGACAACCTGTTAACGACTTCTGTACACAGGTCCACGAGGAGGAATAAGTCAGTAGTGAGTTAATTTCAAATATGATTTACCTTAACTCATTATTGATCTGATTAATTTTGTACAAAGGCCTGCAATAAAAGTATAGTGGTACCTGATTTCTAAACGCTACATACTTTGACGGATATCGAAACTATTTGTTTTGAACGTAATTTAAACCATGTTTAAACATAGCTAGATTTGGTCTGAACCAATCCAAAATACCTGAAAAAGACATAGTGTCGTGAAAGACACGTTTTGCAGTTCATTTACCACTCTGCTAACAACTTTACATTACTTATCCAAAGTTAGGCTAGTTCTATGCAACGGTCAGGCGATACTGTATATGTACATACTGCAAGTACCATATTGACAAGGCCTGTTGCATTGATCATGATATGTGTTGAAATATTACGTACGGTAATAATAGGGTCTAGGCCCGTAGTCGCATGACTTTTTTTCACCCAGTCTTTTGCCACACTGCATTTTACCACCCAGCCTTTTGAGTTTTTGCCACCACCCGACATTTATCCCCTAGATCTATTGAAACTTGGCATTTTGCTACCTAGTCCTTTGTAAGCCTAGACCTGTTGCAACCCGCGGCGTCACCTTTATCGACCCAAACCTTTTCCATCCAGCGTTTTGCCATCTACAGTAAACCCGTTTGGTGCCACCCGGAGAGCAGCTAGCTCAATCGGCAAAACTAGCGGGAGCCACTGTGCGTGCGCTCATCCGTAGATCTATTGGTCCCCGGTTCGATTCCCATCGCTGCCCTTATCTTGTGTTTCAGTTCGATGGCTGAAATTCAGTCTTTAAAAGCACACCACTTTTCGGATGAGACGTTTAAGCCCTTTGCCCCGTACATATGCACGTTTGTCTCTTGGTGTACTGTCCAATTCACCACCAGCAAGACCCCACTGGGAATAAGTCTTAGGACTTTCTTACGTTTGCCTTGTGTATTACACCGACAAAATGCGGACCGTTGCCATGCTATTGCCTGTTACCACCCAGTCACGTGCCGATCTGCACCTTGTCAGTACCCTATGCCTATAATGCCACCCGGTCATCTGCCATCCGGCCCGTTACCACTATTATATATCTTGAACCATTACCGTACTATTCGAACTTTTTTTTCTCTGTCTATGGCATTGAGTGATGACTGAACTGGTCGTTTGTCATATTTTGAACAAAGACAAATAAGTAAAGTTATAATGGGATAATTAAATGTACAATGTGAAGTAAATATACAGTATTATACGCTTTAAATGCATAATATTTAAATGCAAGTATAAGTAGTCGTCACTTATACGAACAGATTATCATTTCATTATATTTGTATTATATTGAATTTGACAATGACAAATCACAATACTATAGATAATACTTACAATGATACTGATAAAAATATTATTATAAATATGATTTATAAACATTATTATTGCAAATGGCTATTGTCATTGTTATTATTGCTGTTGTCGTCATGGTTTTATTATTACATGTATAATCATTATCATTAATAATAATAATAATAATATTATCATTAATAATAATATAAACTATCTATCGTGTGTTAATTGTCATTGTGCTGACAATAGTAGGCCTATACTATTTAAACAATCTTCAACTGTATAATTAACAATTATGGAACATAGCCGCAGCATTTCTTATAAAACTTGATGCTTATGAACCACTTTTATTCAATTATTCAAGACGTCCCACATCCCGTCCCGTCCAGTTGCCAGCCGGCTTTTGCTCTTGGGCATTTGCCACCCGGTCCTTTACCACATGGCCTTTTACTACCCAGACCTCTCCGGTATTTGCAATCTGCGCACGCTGCCACATTTGGTCTATTGACACTCTAAGCACACTGCCTTTTGCCACCCGGCTCATTATTACCATTATAATGGTCATTTTATATTTTTGAATGATCAAATGCACAGAGAGAACATTTCTTAAAGGTTTATCATTATTACAGTCTTTTTTAAAGATAATTATTACTTCTACTTTCTATTTCGTGTGAGATGATGCCTGTAGTATATGACATATTTTAAAATTAATGTACCAGGCAACGGTTCTAGAATTGCAAAGGGCCCGGATGGCAAAAAAGTGGAAAATGCCAAAAGAAAAATGACCGAGTACGGTAGCAATAGGCTTCAATGGCAAAAATGGAAATTTCACTGGATGACAAAATGCCTGGTGGCAAAGTGCCTTGATTAATGGTAAATGATGGGAAATGACCGTTTGGCCAAGTGCTAAGCTCAGTGGTGGATTCAAGGGGAGGGCAGCCAGCCGGCAGCTCCCCCCCCCCCAACCACCTAAATTTTACAAAATCAATAAAAAAGAAAATGCTACTCAAATTTTTAGTCTGAGTGCCATTTCCGCCAACCTAGAGGTACCATAATCATAAATTTGAAACTTCTGAATCCGCCACTGAAGCTGCAGAATGCAGGGTGGTAAAAAGTCTTTGTAACGGGCCTTATGTGGCCAAAATTTGTTTGGCGACTGGAGAAAAAAAGGCGTGGTGGATAAAAGGCCGTGTAGCAAAGGGTCGAAGTGGGAACCGAGGAAGGAGCTGGAATATGTAGGCCTCCTATTCTACATTGTGTGTGTATATGTATCTGTCTAGCAAAAAATATTTCTATTTTACACAAACTTTATCATTATTCACCATATATTTAATCAATTTATATTTCCTCAGATCAAGGAAGAAACCGATTCATGGTTGTTCTCCTTATATCGTTTGTTTTATGTGACCAGATTCTGTGTACTACTATTCGATGTGGGTCGGAATTTAGGGCAGCTGTACGGACGGTCTGCATGGCAAAACGTATGCCTAGTTATGGTCCTAATGTTTATGAAAACGGTATTAACAATTAATATTTATTAATTCATTCATGTTTATATTTAACACTAAACAGCCATCTAAGATAAAATAAAGTTGAAGTATGACTGATCGAACATCTCGAAAATTTCTGGAAAATTAAACAAAATATGTAAAAGGTCCGAAAGTTATATTACGTTTGGAAACTGTGAAACTACTTTTCAAACATTAAATCATTTGATAACCTTAATCATGGATTTTAGCCTAATGGTTATAGTATTTCCAGCCAAAGTGCATAAGATGAGTGTTCTTTAGATAGATATCCGTTATTCAGTCTAGGCCTTTTTAAAACATTGGAGATATTAACGTTCGTCGATGTCTTAAAAATAAATTCGAGCAGCTCTTGTATTTTGTATCACTTATGGCCCATAAGGCTGAATACGATACATGTTTCTGCATGTTTTAATCCTGAACAACAATTTTTAGTTAGCTGTGTTTGGTTGATCATCATCATCATCATCATCATCATCATCATCATCATCATCATCATCATCATCATCATCATCATCATTGTTATTACTATTATTATTATTACTATTATTATTATTATTATTATCATCATCATCATCATCATCACCATTATCATCATCATTTTCTGTATTATTATTATTATTATTATTATTATTATTATTATTATTATTATTATTATTTCATTCATTCATTCATTCATTCATTCATTCATTCATTCATTTTCTGTTTTTATTTTGCTTGCTTTTTTTTTATTCAGTTAATTAATTACATTCTATGACATTCTGTTTTCCGTCATCTTTATAGACCAGATTAAGCCACCGTCCTTTAGCATTTCAAAAATAGTTACAATGGTCTACTACAAAATTTCATTCATTCATTCATTCATTCATTCAAAACCTCTTGTCTTCTACTTATTATTGAATACGGTAGATTGGGTATTTAACCCCAAATAATCCAAATGCATATCCATACTGAATCATTGCCATTTTTTTAAAGCTTTAGGCCTACTAGCCGGCGGCCGACTACCGTATGATAGTGAGCAAGAAATCAAGACTCGATTATTTCCACGGTTGAGAAAATCTAGAAGTACGTACACCGGCCCGCACGACTTTTGCTGTACACATGGTTGTGACGATGACTTTATTAGGGTTCGAGTTTGCTAAAAATGTCATATAAGTTTATTAAAAATATTGAAATACAATTGTGTTTTACATAGAAATTTCGTTGATTTGTTCACATTACAAAATATTTTTAATTTTGTGATGTGATAATGATTTCAGCGTCTCTTGATAAGGCAAATTATATGAGTGTCAGGTTATTTCAGGTACTTTCATTCAAGAAATGAATAATATGTCCAAAATGAGACATGAGGCTTTCGTATAAGATGTGTCAATTTGGCTTCTTTAAAATATTAAAATTAGTGTTAGAGCAAATTTGATAAAATTTTCAATTATTTACAAGCTTTCAAAATTACTTTCAATCTTGTATTATGGTTATTTATACACGATAAACATTAGGGCTTACTACATTAATAATATTATTTATTACATATATATTGTATTTATATATATATATATATAATATATATATATGCATATATAATATATATGATAGAGATAAACTCTAAACCGAGATGTGCATAGCACTGAATATAATATTAATATAACAATAGGTAAATTTAAATCAAGTTTGCTGCGTAGGACCGTAACAAATAAATAAGTAAAATAATAACAGTGTTTATTTAATAGAAACATGTTGTAATAATCGTATCAAGAATCAAAAGAAAATTTCTTTTATTGCAGTTGTATGAAAAGGTGTCTGGGATTTCTATAGGATAGTTACAGTTCTTTTTAATACTTAATAAATAAATAGGAAATAAAAATAGTACAGTAATATATATATATATCCATAATTAGACATATTACAAACACATGCAGAGTAGTATCCTTCCATCTCCGCAACATCAAGGCAGTTAGGCGTTTTTTAAATGAAGATGCTACATCAAAACTTGTACATGCATTGGTTACATCAAGATTGGATTATTGTAATGGAGCTGTCTCATGTAGCCTGGGTTCCAGGCCCTAATTTTGGGTTACTCACTCTCTGTCTCTTATACACATCTAGATCTTGTCACTGGGACACCTAAATTCCATCACATCACCCCTACTCTTCGTCGTCTTCATTGGTTGCCAGTGAAACAGCGTATTGAATTCAAAGTACTTTTATATGTTTACAAATCAATTCACAAGTTATCGCCACAATACATTTCCGAATTAATTAAGGTTCGTTCTGCAACTTGCACTCGTTCCCTCCGGTCAACAACTGACTCAACCAATCTTTATTGTCCATCCTTTCGGTTAAAGTCTTGTGGGGAGCGATCGTTTATGGTTGCTGGGCTCAAGTTGTGGAACTTGTTACCTTTATTTATTCGTGAGTCACCTTCTGTCACCATTTTCAAAGAACGACTTAAGACCCACTTATTCTCGTCCCTTTAATTAATTTATTTTTTTCTATTTCCATGCCAGCTAGCTTTTATAGCCTTAACTAGGATAGGAGGCGCCCGAATCCGAGATGGCCGAGACTCAACAGGTGCTGACTGTAGTTCAATTAGATTGAACCCTAGACAGTGATGAGGGCGTATCCCCATACTTCGGTTTGGGTGCTGGCATGGTATTCAAATTTCACTTCTTTTTATTTTGTGGTTTTGGTTTCCGTTCCATCTTTACACTTGCCTGATAGCGCTTAGAGAC